AATAGCACAGACACACAGTGTAGTATCTTCTCACGACATCTTTCATTTGCATCATTCTTACATAATAGCACAGACACACAGTGTAGTATCTTCTCACGACATTCTTTCATTTGCATCATTCTTACATAATAGCACAGACACACAGTGTAGTATCTTCTCACGACATTCTTTCATTTGCATCATTCTTACATAATAGCACAGACACACAGTGTAGTATCTTCTCACGACATTCTTTCATTTGCATCATTCTTACATAACTCAGATACACAGTGTAGTAGAATGTTAACATACAAAAATAGGATAAATTAAACTCAATTGGGATTTAATAGTCAAATATATTGATTTATGTTAATTATTTCCTGTGCTATTATGTAGGGATGATGTAAATGTCATCCCTACTATCTTGTTTGCCTTCTTTTTGAAGAATTGATATTAGCCATCCCTACATTTACTTCCTTTTTTTAAAGAAAAAAGTTTTATCTCTACTTGTTTGCTTGTTGTTGTTTATTATTTTAATGCAGTGTTTCAATAAGCATAGGAAGGCTGTACTTATAACTAAGTTCTAAATACAATAAATTTCAGACAGTAATATTTATTGTTCATCTATTATTAACTGGTAATTCCTGTTTCACCCTGTATTTAACCTTTTTAAAGGAACACAAAACTTCTGTAAGAAAGCTAACTTCAATGGGGAATGATAATATCGCTTCACTAGAATTATGTATTTTTAATTACTCCTAATTATTAATAATACTTATAAAAGCGGATACTTAGTTTGAATCTTGTTCAACTCAGTAAATTTGGTTGACACCATTGTTTTGGTTTTTGAGTTATAATGTAATAAAAAAGAAGCAGAAGAAAGAAGAACAAGAAATACAAACTTTTGGCTATGATATTTACAGACATTCCCAGAACTTGTGACTCAGTCATTACATAGGTGTTGTTATAAACGGAAACGCTATATAATACATATATGTAATGAAAATCTTAATAGTGTAATAACACGTATGAAAAGCCGATACATTCATGAATAAAATATAACACAACAAAGGATTAGTATTAATACATATAAGACAATATAACTTAAAGTGCAGGAGACTTCAATGTAGGACCTTTCAATCAGCGGCCCAACTTAATCTTACAAAGCCATGTCCAGCCCATTATATATGGAGAACCTTTTCATTGACATATTTATGTATTAAAATCACACCTTTACACGCCTTCTCACAACTAATCGGGTGGTATGTTTTTATTGAAAAACTGAGAACAAATGGCTTTCCTGCTGGAACACTTGTTCGCCTATAACAACTTATAGTTTCACAAAATGGATACTATTCTACAAATATAATTGTATTTATTTCAATTAAGGCAAAAGCAATCTTCTATAATGCATTTCAAGCATTCCACATGTTTGTTATTTAAGAGCCATTTTTCTTTGACCTGGAAGTGAAAAGAGAATTCAGTTATTACACTCTTTTACTATCTTATGAAAAAGCCTGATTATAAGGCATAAAACACTAATGTAAGTGATTTTTAGAAATTTATAACGATTACGTCGTTACCATAAAAGTTGGCTAAATAGCACTATGAAGCTTACGCTTTGCAATCTTGTTACATTAGTGTCAAGTTATTAGTGCTGGGAAAACAATATTTTAATCACTATTAAAGCCTCCGTAGTTTGCTTTCACACGTTCTGCGTAACTTTAAATTTTAGTACGAATAGAAGGGTCAGCAATATGCTCTTGTTACACTAATTTGTGAGGCTGTCTTGAAATTTAAGTAAACATGTATTCTCATTTGATTTTTTTATTGCGTCAATACAAAACTCAGGTATTACAAAGTAAAGTTTGCTTAATCTGTCAAGATTAGTTTG